CTGTTTTCGGTGTGGCTGTGTTTTTTTTCGAATGTGGACCGCTGTAGAACACAATACACAATGAGTACCTCAACTGAAGGGCCAGCATCTGTCGTCATTCTATCAAATATCATAGAAGCCCTCAACTTCTCCCGCAGCTCATCAAATCGTTCCCTTCATAAGGCTTCCAAAAATGTAGGTATTGAAAGCACGGGGGCAGAAAAAAATTGAGTTCGCGTATGCAGTAAATATGCCTAGCACAGAAGAATACCGTGTACCTGGACCGCTGCTGTGAGGTGGGAATTTTCAACAGGGCGGTCAAAGGGTCTTGGCAAGGTCTAAGATCCCGAACGCCCGACGTCACGGAAACTGCTCGCCTACAAGCCCAGCAGGTAATTAAAGACAGTTCCCGCGATCAAGTGGCCCGCGAAATGCCTCCGTGCATTTGGCATCGTTGTCCGCATTCGCAGAGAATATACCACTTTCGTCACTCGAAACGGCGAGATAAAGAAGCTAGAGACGCGTGATTATTGCAACCATTGCAACCACGATTACTTTCACTCTGCAAGACAACGGCTTACAAGCGGAATTGCGTGTGCATAGCGTTGCCTGGAGCGTTGTAGGGCGTTTCCTGTGCCCTTGCCGGGAACTGTTTGCAGGTCGAACTCTGCTGATTGCGCTTACCGACCTACGACAAACTCGTCCAAGGCGCCCGCTGCCCAGGGGTCTCTGCTCACAGTGTTCCCAAGGTTTTTTCTCTCCTGGGGAGTTACTTATGGACTACTGGTACATGACTGAGCATCTACTACCCAAAAACTTGATCGAGGGAATCGTCTTCAATTAGGATTAGATCTGCTCTTTTCATCTGCTTGCTGGCATATTTTTGTCTCGTCAAGTTACGGGCTTGTTGAAGTTATTATGGATTCAATAATTCCCCCACAACAGTGCAACATTTTTCCTGCAACCAAAACCTGTCTGTTGGAGTTTTCGTTTCTTTTACGTGTGCTTCATTATAATCTCATGGAAGTGTACTGATTTCATCAGAGATACTTTTCGATATTGCTTGAGACGGTTTTCTGGGCCATTCAAAATTTTCGTAATGTTTCCCCGCAGCAGCGAATGTTTTTCAGAGGCGTAAGCTTGTTCAGTTCCTTATCGTGGCAGTCAATGAGGGCCCTATCTCGTGCACTTTCGTCACTTTCGTCCCACTTTCGCGTCGGGTTATTGGGCCCCTGTGCTCTCATATTTAGCGGGGAAACCATTTTCCTTTGAAGATATAAGGCACGATCATCTGGTGCTTGCCCAAAATCGGCAGCAGTGTTGCAATATAGAGGTAAAGTTATAAAAAGGGAGGCTGAACATAAGTAAATTGTCTAGAAACCATCTCCGGTGGCACAAGCATGGACTAGCATTTTTTGGTACGACGAGTTTTCCGTTGCAGATCATGGTACTTATTATCCACCATTGTTAGCCAAGCGCTCCATATTCGATTGTATTAATAACTGAACGATAGGAGCATTCAAGGCGATATAACGGCTGGCACGGCATTCTGGACGGGATGGCACTGTTGAGGCGTCGAGTTGGCCTGTTGTAGCTTACTTAGGCGCTATAACAGCACTCTTGATTTGAAAAGGCGCCGCGCAGCGCTTGCTCAGGGGTACAATGTTCCTTCTTGCTGAGCGTATCGACACCTGTACGAACCCTGCTACGCGCTTGGTCGATGGATTTGTGCCACTATGCCGTGTAGGGCCACTCGCCCTCAAAGTATTGCGGGTAGTAGCTGCCACCACCACGAGCCAGTAGCCTGCAGGTAGCTCCTCCCTCCCCTCCCCTCCTCCTCAAGTAGAGAAAGAGGGAAAAAAAACTCTGGGGAAAACTCTGACAGAGACCCTTAAGCATGAGGTGGCCGGCGCCTTGGACCAATTGTCGAACGTCGGCAGGCCCAATCAAGTAGGTTTCTACGTGCAATCGATTCCCCGCTAGAACACAGGAAATCACCCTACAACGCTCCAGGCAACACAATGTACCCAAGCAATTCCGCTTCCAAGCCGTTGTCTCGCAGAGTGAAAGTATCGTGCTTGCAATGTTTGCAATAATCACACGTCTCTAGCTCTTTTATCTCGCCGTTTCGATGGGACGAAAGCGGGGTACGCTTCTTTTTCTGCCGCATCGGAACAAACGATGTCAAAATTTCAGCGGAAATCATTCGCGGTCCTCTTGAAGCGGAACTGTCTTTAAGTAATCGGAAACAGCCTTTAGAAACACTTTCCACTTTCTAGATATGAATTCTGTCTGTATCAAGAAAATGATTACAAAAATGCGGTTTGATCGCCAAAATGATTCCTACATCTGGAAAGAAGCCTATATTCTATTCACAGCTAATTGCAGAAGCTGTTCGAGAACGGGGAGAAAAAATAAATGGCTAATCTCCGCTTGCTGATACCATCGTGTTTCTACTACCACGACTCTAGCCGCAGCTCTCGTTGAGCTCCTTAACTTTCTTGTCCCATCTTAACAGCAAGGTTCTCTTGCCACGCCTAGCGGCCTCGTTCAGGAGCATTTTTTCGAAACAAAGTTGGAACTACCAGAAATCATCTCACAGCTCCTAGAGCGTTGTCCCTCTTGCCACGCTTTACCGGATGATGAAAGTGGTGGAACATCTACCACTACGGAGCACACCCAGTTTCAAGTTAGACTAAGTAACATCTCGGATTATTACGAAATGTGCCTCTACATAAATTACTGGTACGGGCTTCACTTCCTAGTAATCAAAACTGCGAGAGCAAAAAATGAAACTTTCGTGTAAGCTTTGGCATTTGCCTAAAGCAAACGTTTACGCTTACAGTGTAGGCGGAGAAACCCATGCGCAGTTTCTTTATTGGAGCCCCGTCTTTTTAGTACACTAATGAAAGGAGAACTATCGAGGAAGGCTCAGTTGTTCTACACACCTGAGCAACGTGAATTGTAGTTTTAATCTTTTTTGTGATCATTATAATGAAGCGAGGCACAGATTATATCATCCAGTCAGCGGTCGCCAGCAGCGGCGCTTCCACCACTGGTTGCTTTATTCCCAAATCGATCATTAGCCGATCGCGATTGGTAGAACAAGGCAGCGGAGGCGGGCTCATCCCGCCCTCCTTACGCCTACCCCGACTGACTGCAATGTTACAACCGTAGTGGGACTGTTACCACACGCGCGGTCCAGGAATCAAATTCAGGATCAGCTCCTGCCTAGGCCAAGCAACGGCTTCTATCCTCCGGGGACGGTAAATTGGTACCAGATTCGTCTGGGAGGATAAAACACTGACTTGTACATCGGCTGGCCCCGCAAGTCATTGTATAGGCCACATCGCATTCATGAGCCACAAAGATCCTAATGCGATTTCAACTGGAAGATGAATGCGTGCCGCATCCCAAAAACGGACGGCGAAGACTTTTTACTTTATTTATTATTATGACGCAGCAATTAGTAACCTTTGAGTATTCATCTAGAATAAATAATGTTAGACGGTGAGGATGTTCTAGTGAGTTGATTGCTTTCTAGAAAGAAAGACTCAAGTTAGACGCGCCTCGAGATGCGTTTGTCATCTACGGCGTCCAAATACTCCACATCAGAAGTGCTGTGCGTGAGCGAACCGTCGGAGAGAAGCTCTTCTTCGCCGATCTGAAGCATACAAAATTGAGGCTTTTGTTTGACATTGAAATCTGAAAACTAGGCTAAAGGCTAAAATAAGCACAAACCGTTTCAGGACGCTTCACTGGCACAGTTCCATGGTCACGGACGTTCCACTGGCATCGTCATCGTCTGATAAATTCTTGGGTCTGAGCTGCCGGTCACAGGGATAAAGCCCGATCACAGCAAATTTCGGCAGTAAACGATCGCCAAGATCTCCCTGCATCCAATCCTTAATAAGGGAACACTAGTTATCACTTCGTCGACTCATATAGTTACCTTGGGCCAAAATGGTACACAACAACAGCAACAATGCAACCCAAAATTGATGGCTTTCTGGGAGGAATAGATAATAAAAAACAGCACTAAGGAAAATGTTTCATATTGAAATGAAAACCTCTGTCAATAATCAAGGCCACAAGGAAGGCTAAAAAGGCAGACGGAGGTGGTGTACACTTCCAAAGACGTATTCCACGATAATCAAATGAGCGCACACTTACAGCCACTACCATTTCTTGGTTGGTTAATATGGTAAAAAGGAAGAGTGCGTCAATGAGGAATGCAGAAGGGCAAATCGATTCCCGCCCATCCAGTTATCGTGGAACATGCCTTGAAGTGGACTGGTACCAAATGACTGTCCTTGCCAGAACCGCAGCAGCCAAAAAAAATGCAGAATTGTGTGGCTGAAGTTCAGAGTTCAAAGGGTTTAATAATGGTGCTCAATTAAAGGCAAGTGGCTGGTAAGGCAGTAAGATAGTAAGGTAAGGTAAGTCAGTCAAAGGCAGATTAAAGGTAAATCTCCGCAACGTATAGGAATTATACGCCTAGCAGGGAATTCTGCGCCCCTAGGCACGCAACGTGTAGCGCCTTTTTCAAGAAAGGTACCCTTATAGCGCCCTATCAAGCTGCAACACCGACCCGAACGCCCACCGCGCCCGCCCGCCCACAAATGGACGACCGTACCTGATGCTCGTATTGCTTCATTTGCGAAGTAAAATATGAAGCGAAGGGATTGATATGAAGCGGCTGCGGTGCTGCATGGATATATGAGTACATACATGCAGCCGTACCTACCGCAGCGGTTACTGGCACGATGCCAATGGTAAAACTCGCCCAAAATTGTTCTGTGAGTCGTGTAGAACAGAGGCTTTTTTGACTACCCAAGGCGGATTCTTTTACTATTTTAGTTATCACAAGAATGCTGAGTTATGGGCAAAAGTCGTGCCCCAGGCGGGAGTCGAACCCGCACCTCACGCTTTCCGGGCGAGTGCGCTATCCGTTACGCGACATTCGGAGCGCGAACTGCGAACTTCATATTATGATAACTGTAAAACAGCAGTTATCACAATATGAAACTCCAGTTACGTACTAGTTCTTTTACTGAATACTGTAAGAACAGAACTTACACCAGTATCGCATCCCTTGTTGACTTCTTTGATCTTCTTCAGAAGTCGAAGAACATAAGCTGCTTTGGCTTCGTTGGCACTCATTGAGCCCAGATTGTTCCACGCATCCCTAGAAGCATTTCAGCTTCGAATTATTTATCGTTCATGGAAATGATTTGGGAAAAAACTTGACTAACCATTTGAACTTCTCTACCACATTCCAGAAACTAGGCTTGGAAGTATT